GACCCAGTCTGAGAGGTTTGCTCCAAAATACTATGCAGACAGACCCTTAGAGATGATAATTTCAGAGAAGTACCAGTACAACATGTAGGCGGCTACTCGGTATTTCTGAGCCCTGATATATGTACAGTAAACGCATATGTGGCTGGCAGAGAATGACAAAATTAGAGATACTGACACACCGAGACCTCCTGTTTAAAATCTTGTTAACGTGGCAGCAGCAACTTCATACATTATGTTAGCAGTATATTTTAAGTATCTTGAAGAACTGTAAGGGTTTGAACTCAAATTACTAATGTTTGTCACAGCCAAGCATACCCAGTGCTGAAGAGGATAAAAGAACTGCTGTCAAGCAGGGTTTTTTCTTACAGTATCCCAGAGTATTGATCTAAACACATGTTGGGATCCAGAAACAAAATGAACTCACTTTCACGATTTGGCAGCTGAACAGCTGGTACGGGATTTGTGATCCCCTACATCAGAATTTCAATTTCTTGTGATCTGAAACTTGATTTTTCTAATGTTGACAAGTAGCGACTTGGATTGTGTCTTCTCCCTTGCTTTCTATCTACTGGTGAGCAGCAGCATTGACATCGGAGGGTTTTAAGGCAGCCATTTGAAGAGCATCTAGAGGAGAACTGGGAACTACAGGCCAGTGAGCCTCACTTCAGTCCCTGGAAAAATCATGGAGCAGGTCCTCAAAGAATCAATCCTGAAGCACTTGCATGAGAGGAAAGTGATCAGGAACAGCCAGCATGGATTCACCAAGGGAAGGTCATGCCTGACTAATCTAATCGCCTTCTATGATGAGATTACTGGTTCTGTGGATGAAGGGAAAGCAGTGGATGTATTGTTTCTTGACTTTAGCAAAGCTTTTGACACGGTCTCCCACAGTATTCTTGTCAGCAAGTTAAGGAAGTATGGGCTGGATGAATGCACTACAAGGTGGGTAGAAAGCTGGCTAGATTGTCGGGCTCAACGGGTAGTGATCAATGGCTCCATGTCTAGTTGGCAGCCGGTATCAAGTGGTGTGCCCCAAGGGTCGGTCCTGGGGCCGGTTTTGTTCAATATCTTCATAAATGATCTGGAGGATGGTGTGGATTGCACTCTCAGCAAATTTGCGGATGATACTAAACTGGGAGGAGTGGTAGATACGCTGGAGGGGAGGGATAGGATACAGAGGGACCTAGACAAATTGGAGGATTGGGCCAAAAGAAATCTGATGAGGTTCAATAAGGATAAGTGCAGGGTCCTGCACTTAGGACGGAAGAACCCAATGCACAGCTACAGACTAGGGACCGAATGGCTAGGCAGCAGTTCTGCGGAAAAGGACCTAGGGGTGACAGTGGACGAGAAGCTGGATATGAGTCAGCAGTGTGCCCTTGTTGCCAAGAAGGCCAATGGCATTTTGGGATGTATAAGTAGGGGCATAGCGAGCAGATCGAGGGACGTGATCGTTCCCCTCTATTCGACATTGGTGAGGCCTCATCTGGAGTACTGTGTCCAGTTTTGGGCCCCACACTTCAAGAAGGATGTGGATAAATTGGAGAGAGTCCAGCGAAGGGCAACAAAAATGATTAGGGGTCTGGAACATATGAGTTGTGAGGAGAGGCTGAGGGAGCTGGGATTGTTTAGCCTGCAGAAGAGAAGAATGAGGGGGGATTTGATAGCTGTTTTCAACTACCTGAAAGGGGGTTCCAAAGAGGATGGCTCTAGACTGTTCTCAATGGTATCAGATGACAGAACGAGGAGTAATGGTCTCAAGTTACAGTGGGGGAGGTTTAGATTGGATATTAGGAAAAACTTTTTCACTATGAGGGTGGTGAAACACTGGAATGCGTTACCTAGGGAGGTGGTAGAATCTCCTTCCTTAGAGGTTTTTAAGGTCAGGCTTGACAAAGCCCTGGCTGGGATGATTTAACTGGGAATTGGTCCTGCTTTGAGCAGGGGGTTGGACTAGATGACCTTCTGGGGTCCCTTCCAACCCTTATATTCTATGATTCTATGAGATATTGGAAACACAGTTTTGCCGTGCAAAAATCAATCTTTCTGTCCACTTTTGAATGACAAATAAGATTATGGTTATTTTTGACAGACAAGGCTGAAGTTATACAATTTGTGGCCAGACTAACCGTGCTTATAAAAAGGAGTGGAAATCCCTTCGCTCACTGTGGAATCCAAGTACATGATTAGTCAACAAATCCCATCCAGTACTGTGCGGTGTCGCACCTCTTTAAGGATCTTGGAGAGTCTTGGATTACGTATATCAAGCCACTTTAATCCTGTGATCCAAAATGTTGTATTAGTGGATAGAGCTGTTTTCTCTTCCCTTCTCCAGTGTCTGGAGATACTGTCTTTCAATAGGATTCTTAAATTTGGGGAAGCCTGGTGCTTGGTTTCAGTAAGCTCAGAAAGTTTACTTTAAAAAAAAAAAAAAAAAAAAGTTGCTGCTGAAACTTACTTCTACATCAGGTGTTGTTTCCATGCAAAGGTCTCCATTCTAGCAAGGTATTGCAATCCTTTGCTTGTGGAGTTAGTCTGCTGATGAGCGGTTTGAGCTGGCACATAATTATCTCTTGATGGGAAATATTCTGAGGAAGAGATCGGCTGGAAAAGTGGAACTCCTTCTCTTTGCTCCCCAAATGCCGAAATAAAAAGCACAGTGTGTAGAACCCATGTGTCCCTTTCATGTCTCTTCTTGTGGACGTGTCTTGCAATATCACTGCTGCTCAAATTTTACCCCATTCTGAGATAGGTTTCACTTCTGAAACATCCATGTTTTTTCCTCTAGAATTTGCACAGGGTTGTTCATGGGTTTTCTTTAGAAAACGCTTCTGTGCTTGCTCAAAAATCTTTTTCTGCTTTTGGGCAGCCTGATGGTGCCATGCGTTTCCGAGTAGCATCGTTGATTTGATTAGGGGGGAAGGATAGCTCAGTGGTTTGAGCATTGGCCTGCTAAACCCATGGTTGTGAGTTCAATCCCTGAGGGGGCCATTGAGGGATCTGGGCCAAAAATTGGGCATTGGTCCTGCTTTGAGCAGGGGGTGGACTAGATGACCTCCTGAGGTCCCTTCCAACCCGGATATTCTATGATTTCTATGATTTGTGTGTGGTGTTGGAGCAGAGGCTTAGATTTTCACTTACTAATTATTACATAGTTGTCGCCAGTGTCAAAAGTTGGCAGATATTTCTCTGCAAGTGGATTTTGAGCCTCCGGCAGCCTAGAGCAGGAGGGCTCTTTTAGCCTTAAGAATTTTTGAATGTTACTTGACCTGTTTCCACAGTACCGAGACCACTTTGATAACAAATGGATCAATAGCGCACTGTTTGTGCAGAAGTGGCTTAAGTGCTGTTGTCCTCCACTTGCAGCTCTGACAGGGCAATTATTACTGTAAGAGTGGTGGAGCCAAGCGTTAGCCACCCTCACGCCCCCCCCCGCCCCCGGCTTTTAAGGAAAGCAGCAAATGTCACTTAATACAGCAGCACTAAGTAGTGCCACTCAGGTTAAGGGGCTGTTAATAATTTCCAATATCAAGCTGTTGCTTCCTAGGATCTATAACTTGCTATTAAAAACTGTTCTAAAGTGTTGCATGAGAACAGACCCTGTGCCACCCCCACTGTTGCCAGCACCACCACCACCTCATCTCCCCAACTTCGTCTAAGGCAAATCGGCCATGTTCTGGAGGCCCAGCTCTCGTTTCAATGTAGGTGTGATATGAGGCAGGGCCAGCAATAGACACTTTGAAGCTCTAGGTAAAGTGGCATTCTGACTCCTTATATAGTCACTTCCTCCATCTAGGTCGCTTACAGAGTGCACTTTTTTTTTGGCCCACTCAGCCCCATGAAACTACGTTTTTCTTTCCTTTGCCCTTGTGCTCCAGAGTAAATCTCTCCCCTTTCCCTGTGAGGAAACAGGCTTACTCCTTCCAAAGCAACAGGCAAGCAGCTTCTCTCCAAGACTTCTGGACACAGAGCTCAGAGGACAGGAGTCCTGGTGCGACTAGGTACCCAGAGAGGAGGCCTGTAGGAAAGCTGTAGGCAATAGGGAGGAGGCGCTTATTAGAAAGTTGGAAGAGGAGCCCATGAGAGGCAGTGTACTAACAGGCTTGGGGACTTTGGTGCCCTAGGGGCTCAGATAGGCTCTGGGTGCCCTATCACCATCTAGGGATTTGATGTCCAAAGAACTGCTTTCTCCCAAGACTCCCTGATTGAGAACCTAGCCCCTGCTCCATGCCAGCTATCTCCCTGACACTCTTGTACTCATCTCTGCTGTCCAGCAGGGATGTCCAGAATCTGAATGAGGCCCAGAGTTTTTGGTACCTGCTCTGATGGCACAAAGCAAAGAGAAAGTCCAGGTTAGACAGTTACCTGGAAATATCTCCTAGGTGCTAGTGCAGAGCCCTTGACATAAGCTGCACAGTCAAAGAATGATTGTGCTCTGGCTAGTCTCAGTTGCATTCAGGGGCCTGGGGCAGCATAGGTTAGAGTAGCCTGAGGACTATGCTAGTTTTCATCAGGGTCTTTGTGAGGGAGGAGAGTGCAATGAGTCAGAAGGGTGTCATATAGTTTTCTTTGCCTCCACTTTCCTCCCCTTCTTTGACCAAGCTCAACTCAACAGCAGACCAGCATTAGGGCCTCGGTATATGTGCCATTAAAATCTTCATGATTGCCTTTGTCTCGTTAATTACCTGTTAATGGTAATTAAGAAAAAGAAAAATGTTGAAATTGCAACCATTTTATTTGCTGGAGGATTTTAAACCCAGAGCTTGGTGCTGAGGTCAGTTTATCGTTTGGGAAACAACTATCGCATCCTTGCAGGTGAACATCCCTCCCAAGACAAAACCTGTTCCTTTGATCACTGCTGCCGAAAGCTGTTGAGAACATGATCTCCCCCAAACCTGCAGCATTGAAAGTCACCAACAGTGCGGGAAAGCAATTTTGCTTAAAATATTTGACCATCTGCAAATGTCTCATGAATTTTAATGGCTTGTTTTTGTTTGTAGGTGTGCCGATGTTATCTGTACAACCAAAAGGGAAACAGAAAGGCTGTGCTGGCTGCAACCGAAAGATCAAGGACCGCTACCTTCTGAAGGCCTTGGATAAATATTGGCATGAAGATTGTCTAAAATGTGCCTGCTGTGACTGCCGTCTTGGAGAGGTTGGATCAACTCTTTACACAAAAGCAAATCTCATTCTCTGCCGCAGAGATTACTTGAGGTAAATACAGGCATATTCTGGGGGTTCTTCCTATAAACTCCCAGTTCACCACCAGCTGTTTATTTTTCCTAAACTTGTACTGTGTAAATATCCATGTGCACAATTTTTAGCATTGCCTAGTAGTTAAATTGAGTACAAGATCCATAGCTTTCTCCTTTTTAAGGACGCCTTTTGTTTGCTGTATTATAGTTGATGCAACTGCTTATGTGTAAGGCTTGATAGTGAGGGGAGGGCATGCTTTATGGTATTTTTTTTAATTACGAGCTTACAAAAGAAAGGAGTGTTTGTTTTTAAAATGTAGGGCCAGATCATCAGCTGGTGTAAACTGAAATAGCTTCTCTGACTTCAGTGCTATGTGAATACACAACTGCTGAGTGTCTGTCCCATTTGCCTTTCAATGGCAGCTTTTAAATAGACATTTAACTATTTTCTGTAGGCTCCCCCCCTACCACAAATGAGGCTCCTTGGTGACACAACAAAGCAAAACAGTGTCTCAAAATAAGAGATCAGTTTTTTAAACAATTGTTTTCCTTCAGGAAATTTTATAGTGACCAGCAGTGACTCTTCTTCCAGGTAGAGCTACCTTCACCCAGGTGCATTTGTAGCAAATAAAACCTGTTACTCAAGGACAATTGTGACTTTTTTTGGATTGGATATATGTAAATACATATCTATGGAAGCTCAAATGAGTCTTAATAAGACGATAGCTATGATGTACTTTCCCTAATAGTGGAGCTTATTGCGAAAGTGAGGGGAAGTGAAGTCCACTATATAGAATATATAAAATAAATAGAAGAAAGGGCAAGTTGATAGTAATGACTATCAACCAGAAGTTAGGAATTATAGAAAACTGATAAAGGAAGCAGAGGGACACAAGGAGAAATCTATGGCCAGCAGAGTTAAGGACAGTAAGGAGTATTTAAAATATATTAGGAACAACAAGAATCCTGACAATGGTATTGGTCAGTAATAATGCAGAAAAGGCAGAAATGTTCAATAAATATTTCTGTTCTGTATTTGGGGGAAAAAAAGATGATATGCTCTCCTCATATGGTGGTGGAGACATTCTTTCTATTCCACTAGTATCTCTGGAGGATGTTAAACAAAAGCTGCTAAAGTTAGACATTTTTAAATCAGCCCATCCAGCTAAAGTGCATCCAAGATTTTTAGATTTTTAAAAGAGCTGGCTGAGGAGGCCAGTGGACCATTAATGTTGATTTTCAATAAGTCTTGGAGAATTGGGGAAGTTTCAGAAGACTGAAAGAAAGCTAGACTCATGCCAGTTTTTATGAAAGAGTAAACTGGATGACCCAGGTAATTATAAGCCTGTCAGCCTGATGTCAATCCCGGGCAAGATAATGGAGCAGCTGATATGAGACTTGATAAAGAATGAAAGGAGGGTAATGTAATTGATACAAATCAACATGGATTTATGGAAAATAGATCCTGTCAAACTAACTTCATATCTTTTTTTGATGACATTACAAGTTTGGTTGATAAAGTTAAGTGTTGACATCATATTCTTAGATTGCTGTAGGGCATTTGACTTGCTACCAGGTGACGCTTTTGATTTAAAAAGATAGAATGATATAGAAGTGGCCTGGCACCATTAAATACTGGCTAACTAATAGGTGTTGGAATGTAACTGAACAGGGAATCGAGGTCACTGATTCAGAGTCACTGATTCTGGGTCACTTGGTAAAGTTGGTGCAGGCAAACAATATGTGTTTTTAATACAGTTAAATATAAATGTATACATCTAGGAACAAAGAATATAGGCCATACTTCCAGGATAGAGTTCCCCATCCTGTAAGCAGTGACTGAAAAAGATTTGGGGATCATGCTGGGTAATCAGCTGCAGATGAACCCCCAGTGTAATGCTGTGGCCAAAAGGAGCTAATATGATCCTAGGATGCATAAACAGGAAACTCTCAAGAAGGAGTAGAGAGGTTACTTTATTTTTGTATTTGGTACTGGTGTGACCACTGCTGAAATCCTGTGTCCAGTTCTGTGCCCACTATTCCAGAAGGATGTTGATAAATTAGAGAGGATTCAGAGAAGAGCCATGAGAATGATCAAAAGATTAAAAAGCATACCCCCTCCCTGCCCCTATTACAAGTCCTTCCCCAAAACCCCGCCCTGGCCCTGCCTCTTCTCCGCCTCCTCCCCTGAGCGCACTACGTCCCTGCTCCTCTCCCCTCCCTCCTGGAAAGTCCTAAGCGCTGCCAAACAGCTGTTTGGTGGCGAGAAGTGCTGGGAGGTAGGCGGAGGAGCGGGGACATGGCGCGCTGGGGTGGGGAAGAAGCGGGGAAGGGGAGCTTGGCCACCGGTGGAGTCAGTGCTTATGTGGGCCGCAGGAAATAACATGTGGGCCATGTGTTTGGGACCCCTGCAATAGACTGTTGTTAAGCCATTCAACATTTGTTAAACCTGTGGTGCCCAGAGACCAGCTGTATTTGTGACAATAGTTTTAACCCTTGAACTATCTGGGATCAAAGTATTAATGGATTCAGGGTAATATTTTAGGGAGTCTATAGTGGTTACAATTTTACAAATCAAATTTTCCTTCAAGTTTTCCTTAAAAATAAGAAATGGAGTCATGAAATATCTGATTGTAATTAACCGTTATGGTGTTTAAAACTGGAACCTTGTCTTGTAGCCCATCAGTGGAATCGGAGCATCTTTCCTCTAGTTATGAATTCTGCACTTAAATCTCCCAAGAGACTATATGAAGTGCCTGTGCTATCAAGAGAGTCCATAGAATTTCAGCTGTCACAGACCCAAGTATAATTGTATAGGTAGGCCACCCCCAAAGTGTAGGTGATGGGAGGCCTGTTTGAAGAGTGGGAGGAGAAACTGGGGTGTGGAGCGGAGTGTTGTGGGATTTGCTTGGGAGGGAAGGATTGAATACAAGGGTTTTGAAGGAGGAGGAGAGTAGAATAACATGGAACAGAAGGCGGCTGGACTTTGGGGAAGAGAGACCAGGGACAGCAAGGAGCTCTGCGGGGACAGAGATGAGGGAGAGACTGGGGAATTTGGCAGACAGTGAAGTGAAAGTACAGATGATTTTAGAAGATAGGAAGAGAGAGGACTTTGAAGATTTGTAACACCAGTCAAAGCCTGCTCCTGGCAGAGCATGGACAATGGATAGAGGGCACCTAGCTGATGCTGCTGGGAGCATGAGGGAGTCCAAAGGAGGAGGAAGTACTGAAGTGCTGGGGTACTTATAGGAGGCAGAGGGGAGCTTGTGTTGCTGGGATATCCTGTTAGGCTGGGGCTTTGTTCTCTCTAACTTCATTTGTAAAACGGGGGGACGGCGGGGAGTGTGCGCGCCACGAGGATGGGTCATAAGGATAAGAAGTGCTGTATAGCCTCCAGGTCAGTCTGACCCTCATCACTGTAATATCTGAGTGTCTCACAATCATCCAACACCCCTGTGAGGCAAGAAAGTCTCATCCACGTTCTACGATTCTTGAAACTTGGCCCAAGGTCACACAAGAAGTCTGTGGCTGAATCAGGAATTGAACACAGGTCTCTCCAGCACCACTGAGGAATTTACAGGTAAATCCATGCTGAGCATGTTCTTGCAGGCAGTGGTCTGAGCCAGACTTCTAATTCTGTTTGTCTTAACATGACACCTATGTCAGTGATTACCAAAGCATTGGCTCTGCCATGGACTTACTCTATAACTTGGGTGCGTCACATCACTTCTCTGCCTCCGTCTATAAGCCAAATATAACTACAGCACTTCTCGCTACCTCTCCAGGGTGTGTATGGGGTCAGTTAGTGTTTGCTTTACCCTTTCACAGTTCTATTCAGTGTGTTAGTGGTGAGAGTAACGCGTAGCTTACTTCACAACAGTTCAATGCAGGCTTTCTCCGTGATAAGGAATTTTAGCCACTGCAGGTAGAAGGGACTTTTGGATCATATCCTTTTATCACTATCGGATACAAAATATGACATCTCCATCTAATCTTTCATTGACTGACCGAAATAATGGCAGTTGCATATGCACATATATCCAGTCTGTAACTGACTTCACTTGTAAATTGTTTCCTAGGTTATCCTAAATTCTTCCTTTCTTAACTTCAATCCCTAAAAGCTTGTGCTCGCTTTGACTACTGAAAAAACCCTCCTAGATTTTCTTTCTTGTTACAAATCTGCATTCCAAAGTTCCCTTTCCAGACTGTGCTACTTTAGTTCTCTTTAATCTTTAAGTAAGTTACTTTCTAATAATTTATGCCACCCTTCTTTAAATTCACTAAGAATTATTTAGTTCCACACATTATACTTCTATTTTATACATCCCTGTGTTTCTCTTCTGTTACTGCATGATTTCCATGTTCATGTTCAACTGACTGGGTTTTACTCTGTGTAGCCGTTCATCCCTGTGTAATACGGGTGTGCAGTAGTCTGATTTGGTAGCATTGTATTGCTATCGAGCACAGATGTAAAATGACTACTATGTACAGGGCAGGAAAGAGTTGGGCCCATTTTCTCATCAAAGATCTCTTGGTAGCATAGTTCCCAACCAACATTCCCCTTTTGCTAGCTTCCTACCATACCACTTTGCATTTATCCTGATTAAACCTAGTTTTGTTTATCATTTTTTCCTGCCTAACTCTCTCCTAGATTCCACCATTTTCATTTTGCTTCCCCGGGTGCAAGGCAGCCCTCCTAACTTCTCAAAATGGGAAAACTTGGTAAACATGCTCTTTATTTGTTCTAGGTCACTTATGGAGACGTTGAGCACATGATCTAAATCTGACTCTTGCTGAGGGGAGGGAAAGGTATCCATTGCGGGGGTTGGCTATTTAATACACTAGCGCATTACTTCGTTCCCAGTCGTCAGTCAGTTAGGCATCCATCACAGAATATACGTAGCCATGCCTTTTTCATACTTCTCTGAGAGCACTATGTGGAGCAGCGCTGAATGCCTTACTGAGGTGCCCACTGCTAACCAAATTCTCTGTTGCTGAAATCATTGATAGCTGTTTGGG